CAAATATTTGAAAATATCTCCGAGCCTGAAGCTCGTAGAGTCGCTAGACGAGGTAAAACCCGTCAAGAGCCAACTTAGAGGCTATTGATCACAAGTCCAAATTTAAAGGGTTTTTGGGTTATTTTGTACCCACTGTATATAAATCTCTCTTGGAAGGTGTGATTCCCAAGATTGAGTTGATTTGAATAAACCCACATGTACATATCTCCCTTGGAGGATAAATACCCGAGGTCGAGCTGATTTTGATACACGTACATGAAAAATATGGACAAATATGATTATTGCCTACTCGATAGTGCAACTACACACTCAATATTCAATAATAAAATATATTTCTCGAGTGTGACTTTGTGCAAGGCACAAGTTAAGACCATAGCAGGTTCCGCGGAAATAATAGATGGCTCCGGGAACGCAACAATTGTGTTGCCTAATGGTACCACTTTGCATATTGAAAATGCACTGATATCCGGTAGATCGAACAAGAATCTACTGAGTTTTAAAGATGTGAGACGCAATGGGTATCATTTAGAGACACTGGTTGAAAATACAGTGGAGTGTCTATGCGTCACATCATATGTCATGGACAAAAGAATTGTTCATGAGAAGTTCGAAGCGACAGCTTCTGGACTATATTGTGTCCAAATTCGAGCTTTCGAATCCTACGCCACTATGCCATGGAAACTTGTTAATCCCGATATACACGGGTTATGGCATGATCGACTGGGTCACCCAGGAACGACTATGATGCGTAGGATTGCACAACATACTAAAGGACATCCATTAAAAGATACAAAAATCTTGATGTCCAATGAATATTTCTGTGAATCATGTTCACAAGGAAAGCTCATTATAAAACCTTCCATTGAAAAGGTCGGTTATGAATCACCATCGTTTTTACAACGTATTCATGGTGATATTTGTGGACCAATACACCCTGCAAGTGGGCCATTTAGATATTTTATGGTTTTGGTGGACGCATCTTGTAGATGGTCCCACGTATGCTTATTATCTACGCGAAATGTTGCATTTGCGCGTTTGCTAGCGCAAATTATTAAACTCCGAGCGCATTTCCCTGATTATCCCATCAAGAACATAAGGATGGATAATGCCGGAGAATTTACATCAAAAACTTTTGATGAGTATTGTGCAGCACTGGGAATAAATGTCGAGCACCCAGTAGCATACGTTCACACTCAAAATGGACTGGCGGAATCTTTGATTAAACGCGTCCAAATAATTGCTCGTACTTTACTGATGAGATCTAAACTCACTAGTGCAGCATGGGGCCATGCAGTATTGCATGCATCAGCACTGATTAAATTACGCCCAACTGCTTATCATATGCATTCCCCAATGCAATTGGCATTAGGCTTTGAGCCCGATATTTCGCACCTTCGTACATTTGGTTGCGCTGTGCATGTGCCAATTCCTCCTCCTCAGAGGACTAAAATGGGTCCCCAACGCCGACTTGGCATATACGTTGGGTTTGATTCACCGTCGATTATTAGGTTTTTGGAACCAATGACGGGTGATTTATTTACCGCTAGATTTGCGGATTGTCAATTTGATGAGACATTATTTATACCGATTGGTAAGGATATTCAGAATATCCGTGATAATGATAAACAAAAACCAATCGAGAATCTCACATGGTGTGAGCAACATTTATCTCATCTAGACCCACGTACCTCTGAATGTGAAAAAGAGATCCATAGAATCATTCATTTACAAAATATTGCCAATAGACTTTCTGACGCATTTAATGATGCCAGTAAAGTCACGAAGTCTTATATTCCAGCTGTGAATATGCCAGCTAGGATCGCTGTTCTTGAAGAACATGCGAAAATGAATGATGATCCCCCACGACAAAAATGGGGTAGACCAATTGGATCAAAGGACGTTGTTCCTAGAAAAAGAAAGGGGAAAATCAATGAACCCTCAAATGAGGCGATTCCTAGTGAGAATGCTCCAGATAAATCTGTTGAGCCTGATATCGAAAAAGCGATATCAAATCCCGGGAATACCGAGAATCCCATAAGTTATTGCAATGAAATATGGGATAGAAATGAGATAATTATCGATAATATTTTTGCATTCTCGGTTGCACAAGAAATTATGTACGATGATTATGATAGTGAACCGCGTTCCATAATGGAATGCCGCCAAAGAAATGATTGGCCTAAGTGGGAGGAAGCAATGAAATCTGAATTGGCTTCCCTAGAAAAACGGAAAGTATTCAGGCAAATCGTTCAAACTCCGGATAATGTAAAGCCCGTTGGGTATAAATGGGTATTTGTCCGTAAGAGGAACGAGAACAATGAAATTGTAAGATATAAAGCCCGCCTTGTAGCTCAAGGTTTCTCCCAGCGGCCTGGGATTGATTATGATGAGACGTATTCACCAGTTATGGATACGATCACTTTCCGTTTTCTTATCAATATGGTCGTCCAAGAGGGACTGGACCTGCGTCTAATGGACGTTGTAACGGCCTATCTATATGGTTCACTAGATTCTGATATTTATATGAAAATTCCCGATGGATTTAAAATGCCAAACTCTGGCGCTCCTCGTGAGCTGCACTCAATCAAATTACAGAGATCATTGTATGGTCTAAAGCAATCCGGTCGCATGTGGTACCATAGATTGAGTGAATACCTTATCAGGGAAGGTTATAAAAATGATCCTATTTGCCCATGCGTTTTTATTAAAAGATCAAAAACCGGATTTGCTATCATTGCGGTTTATGTAGATGACATGAACCTCATTGGCACTCCTGAAGAGTTGGCCAATGCTGCTGAATATTTAAAGAAAGAGTTTGAGGTCAAGGACCTTGGAAAAACCAAACTCTGTCTCGGTATTGAGCTTGAGTATAAAAATAACGGCATACTTATACACCAATCTGCATATACTAAACGATTGCTCAGAAAGTTTAATATGGAAACTTCTAATTCATTGAGCACCCCTATGGTTGTGCGCAATTTAGATCCTGAAAAGGATCCGTTCCGACCTAAAGAATTTAATGAAGAGATACTTGGCCCTGAAGTGCCGTATCTCAATGCTATCGGAGCCTTAATGTATCTAGCACAATGCACTCGACCTGATATCGCTTTTGCGGTAAATGTGCTTGCGCGATACAGTTCTGAGCCTACCCGGAGACACTGGAATGGTGTTAAACATATTTTTAGATATCTCCGTGGTACTGCAAATTTGGGATTATTTTATTCAAAGAATGCAACTAACCAAGGGTTAGTTGGTTATGCCGATGCGGGATATAGATCTGATCCCCACAAAGCTCGCTCACAAACTGGATATTTGTTTTGTTATAATGGTGCAGGTATATCTTGGCGATCTACCAAACAGACATTGGTGGCCACCTCCTCAAATCATTCAGAAATAATAGCCCTTTATGAGGCAGGGAGAGAATGTGTTTGGCTACGATCGGTTGTTTCGCATATACAAAATTTCTGCCAATTACATCCAGTTACAGACACGCCCACAGTCATTTACGAAGACAATGCTGCTTGTATAACGCAAACAAGGGGCGGATACATAAAAGGTGATAGGACCAAACATATATCACCAAAGTTCTTCCATACACATGAGCTTCAGAAGAATGGAGAGATCGATGTTCGACAAGTTCGCTCATGCGACAATCTTGCTGATTTGTTTACAAAGTCCTTACCGACTTCTACATTTGAGAAATTGGTGTACGGCATTGGAATGAGAAGAGCCAATATGAAGCAAGATTGACGCCCCATTCCGGAACCTATATTGCTCATTTCAGGGGGAGCAATAGTGCGCTGCACTCTTTTTCCCTTTTGACTGGTTTTGGTCCCATTGGGTTTTCCAGCAAAGGTTTTTAACGAGGCAGCTTATGCACACGGCTTGGATTGAGTTATGCACTCTTTTTCCCTTCTGATCGGTTTTGTCCCACTGGGTTTTTCGACTTGAGGTTTTTAACGAGGCATATCCATAAACTTCACTCATCCAATTTAAAGCCGATACAACAATGATGCTTCGTCCAAGGGGGAGTATTATAATATATGGATGGTGCATAGCTATCCATTTTACTTTACACGTGGACTTAGCATATTAATACCTTCGAGACTAAGATTGAAGAAGCATGACAATGCATAAATAATTCTTGTATATATAGAGACATGGCAGAGAAAGAAATGTACAAGTCTTATTCGATAGTTAACAAAACAACTTTGTTCAGCAAACATCTTTCCTCTATTCTAGCTTATATTACGATAATATTTCTGCTTATATCAACATATGTATATACACTAATATTGTAGAGCTATTGGGTTTTTTCTATAACAGTTTTCTAATTTATTTTATATTCTTCCTTTTAGATTAGGTCCAACTACACATATACCCTCATAAGTCAATTTTGTTTATAGATTTCTCCAAGTTTAATTTTAATTTTTAACTAAAACTAAATTTAAACTCATTAATAAATATTTTAAAAAAAAAAAAATAGAAAATAATACACACGAATATATATATATAAATAAATAAATATATATATATATATATATATATATATATATATATATATATATATATATATATATATATATATATATATATATATACCACATACAAAAGATGCAG